CTAGGGACAATCGTTATCGATGGTTAAAGACACCGAGTGATATGGCTGAGTCTCGTGAGCAGTGGCGTTCGTGCATCTTCTCAGTTTCTTTGCAACATTAATCCAATGACATTTCCAATTTCCTCTTCGATTCCACTTTCAACTTTCGTGCTTTCTCCTACTGTTTATCCAAATGAGCAGCAACCAAAAAAGACAGCAACCAAAACCGGCTCACAAAAGTGCATGGTTAATGGTTGTTCGAACCGAACTGATCTGAAATTTAAAATATAGGTCACAGTTAATATTTGGTGGACTCTCAGCATTATGACGCTCCTATGTTTAAACAACTTAAGTGACAGATTTTTCCTTGGTTTCCTGCTGTTTCCACAGGCCAAAATGGAACAAGGAAATGACACCCGAGGAACTGAATGCGNNNNCGTTGGAAAAAGAAGAACTATTAAAATGGCGTCGGGCTTTGGCAAGGTAAATAAATTCCGTAGACACCTGTCCTCTTTCGTGTCTATGTGCAATTCGTGGTGTTTTTTCTCCGTTGCCTTTCCTATTACACTCTACATATGCCATGACCGATTTTCACCATTCCTTGAAAATGGTACTGGATTGTGTTTGTGCATTGGTGGCGGATGAAACGGAGTGAGTCACTTTGAATTCGGCGCTTTCGATTGCGTTTTATCTTTACACCCTTCGTCCTCACACTCCATTTGTTTGTTGCCTTGTCGGCTACTCGTACTAGTTCACCATCTTAGAACGAGTAGTCACAAAAAATAGACAAATGTTTCTGGTTCTCTATGGCTGAATTTGCTCGGAAGATTGAGGACCTGAAAAACGTAATACACCTTGACATTATACATTGTGAGGTTGGCAACGATCAACAAAGTTCACTACTCTGCATCTCGTTGTATGATGCTGAAGCTGCTGCTGCTGATGGTGATGATGATGAGTATAACTCCGAACACGTTCATCTGTGCTGCAGAGTTGTTTTTGATAACATAATTGCCATCACTTAATCGCTGACGCCCATGATAATTATTCATGGCTGTTTGATCACTATAATGAGGTTTTTCCTCGCTGTGACAAGTCACGCATCGTTTTTTACGCAGACTATCGTGACACCCGGCAGGGCCTTATGCGGTTCGCCACTCCCATTCCCGGGGCTCAGGTTACCGGTTTCCATCATCGATCAGTACGTCCTGACAGTTGGGCCCGCCTCGTCTGCTGTTCACGAGTGTGTGTATGTAATAAAAAAATATCCCAGCGTATACCATCATGTCTCTCTCTTGATCTTTGGAGCTTGATTGCATCACCGGGATTATGTTTAGATGTTAGATCAGTTTCGGCCAAGTCAAATATTGGCTGCTTCGACCTAAACAACCTAGCAGTATTCTGTCCACCGGTAGGTCACAGACGCTTTCTCGGTGAAAAAGATCATGGTAATGTGATTTGTTTGGGCATGCGGTGTGGAAACGCGAGTAAAGGATAATAATAATCCAAGTATTTACTCCATAGCATCCATAGGTGAATATTCAGCGACTATCGCGTTACGTGGAAACGGTACTAATATTACATGATTAAACCAAAAAGCCATGAAAGCAAAAGCATTTCAATGTCATGCAATGCAAATCGCATTTGCAACTCGGGAGTTGATTTGAGAGAAACGATTCCCGAACAATCATTGCGATAACTGTGTATCAGATGTTGTGGGTTAGTTGCGTCTTACCCCAGCCAACTCGACGCTAGGGCCGATTTTCAGTGTTTTTATAATGAACGACTGGACAGAATTTCTCAGAAGCACACGACCGGTTCTGCGGTCCTCGCCGCTCGTCAAGTATGCGTATTCGCACAATTTCCGTTATAAAAGCACCATAAAGCGTGTATGAAGATAATCAGCGCAACGGATTTCTGTTAATGTTTATCAGGATTCCTTTTTCACTATTTATTCATCTGTTCCATATACTGTTCGTTCTTTTTGTTGACCAATATGTCACTCAGTCTGTTTTGATGTGTATTTGTTTGGATCAGCATTGCAAACGTTTTAAGGGCCCATTATTCATTAGTAATACTTTGCTGATAAGTTGTTATGTAATTAAAAGACAAAAGTGACAACAGCTGTATCTGCCTACTGCGCCCCAATTTTGTACAGATTAGAACAGAACAAGGGAGTTGTGCTTACCCCTTTTGAAAAAAATCTCGAATTTTGGCGGCAACTCTGGCGTGTGGTCGAGAGAAGCGATCTCCTGGTGCAAATTGTCGATGCTAGACAACCGTTGCTCTATTACAGTTCCGATTTGGAGGCGTACGCGCGCGATGTCGATCCGAATAAACGATGTATCGTGTTGGTCAATAAATCGGATTTCCTCACCGAGGAGCAAAGGTACGTTTGTGTGTGTAATTTGTTTTATTCTTGCGTTGCAAACGAGATGGGGAAAAGCACAAATTCTGTTTCGGTGACTTGACTCATTTGCGTCTGAAGTTGAGTCTAGTTCACGGACAGTGTCCATTCTTTCATTATGATCCGAAGAGATATGGAGACAAATTAAAGCGTCTCGCTGATTGTGCTGACGTCATATATGCGCTCAACGAACTCCAATTAGCCTGAAGTCTATTTTCGTCGTCCAGTTCACTACCAAAGGAGAGCGGTGCAAATGGGGTTCAGGTAAACATGGTCAGTTGCCACACCGAGTCATTCCAAGCGATTCTGATGTATGATGAGACTTGAGTTGTCCTCTGTGGTTGGTCAGGTTCTGATGAGGAGACGAGACTGCATCTTGACGTGGTATGATGGCTTGTGCACCTCTGTGATCCAACGAGCTACACCAGATGGCTTTTGTCGAGCCATAGATCTAATCATGCCTGGAAGATCAATGGGTAGAGGTCAGACAAAGTCCAGTCTCCTGGTCCTCCAGGTTGGGTGTTCGACCTGAGTTGGCGTCACAGTCGGTAGAACGTGTTGGAGAAATAATTGATCCAAGTTAATGGGTCTCCAATCCGCCTTAACCGCTGCCTTGTGGTTATTTTCTGGACAGAACCCAAGGCTTTGATTGAGAACCCCAATCGATCTCCTACTTAATGGCTGAATACCCTGGCAGTAACCGTCCATAAAGCTCCAACGAACACACAAACTAAAAATAATTTCATACTACATCGGTCGTCGCGCAGGATAATGAGGACCGCGCTGCCCATCGAATCGAGCTCAGATATCCTAACCTGTTTGTCTTCCGTACCCAACCCTACCCCTTTACCCCTTCTTCCAACCCATAACATTCCCTCAAGCGATTTGGTAGTCACTCGCGAAAGGTCGTTGCCAAATAACACTGTAACTAGCTTTTCTGTAAATAAAGTACCTGAAGCCTCGTCGGCCTCTCAATTTGGAGGCTTTCAATGTGAGGACTCTTATGCAGATGGGTCAACAGGCGTGTCTCGCATATGCAATGCAGCCTCTAGAAATCGATGTCTGCTGCGTATCGGAGACACGAATTCCGGATCCTAGTATTACAAACCACCTGAGTGCGCCGGATTCGTCCTCGAGGTATTTCAATCGCTAATCAGGAGGCGACAAAGCCCGCTCACTGGGTAAGCGTGGTGTAGGTATCGTACTAAACGATAGAGCTGAGGCCTCAGTGATAGATTGGATACCCGTCAATAGTCGTTTGTGCACAATGAGGCTACAGGGTTCAGTTGGTGTTCGAAAGGGTAGCAACACCAAAAGGTGTTTGTTCATAATTTCCGCGTATGCACCAACCAACTGCAGTCCCGTTTCACAAAAGGACGAATTTTACGACAAACTCGCCGAACTGATTCTTTTGAACCGCAACTCTGATACCATAGTGCTGGCAGGTGATTTTAACGCGCAGGTTGGAAAACTGAGCGTATCCGAATCCTGTCTAGAAGGGCACTTCGCCCTCCCCTCCCAGCGAACAGACAACGGTGATCGACTACTTTAGTTCTGCGTGGATCACCGGCTGTTTTTATCTAGCACCAACTTTCGACACAGCCTCGTCGAACGGCTACATGGCGTTCTAGTTCAACGGGCACATTGACGCTAATTGACCACGTAGCTGTAAGCTACCGTTGGCGTGGTTCAGTACGAAATTGCAGATCCTATTGGACCACCTGCGTTGAGTCGAACCATGCTCTAGTTCTGTTACGCTTCACTTTCGACTCATCGATCATCGGCAGAAACTGCCTCCTCAGTTAGCTCATCATCGTCTGCGCGATCCGTCTGTCTGCGCACGTTGTGAGGAGCAGCTGGGACAGGAGCAAGGAGAACCGCGACATAGTGGAGTAGACCAACAGTGGAAGCAGATAAAATTTGCGATGCATTCAGTAGCAAACTTTTCTTGTGGGACTGAGCCCGAAGTTCGCCGAAGACATTGGATCTCAGGAGTCAGAAATCCTGATGGATAAAAAGCGGAAGATCGCAATCTGCCAGGATCAGCATAAGGTGTTGCCTGCAACGTCACCTCAGAAGTAGCCTTAAGAAAGATCGTGAAAATTGGTGGGTCCAAATAGCTAGTGAGATGGAGGTGGTTTCTGCTTCAGGGAATAGTCAAAGACTGTTTCACGTGATACGCAGCACCTGAGGTCGTCGCATACCGGTCAGTGAGATCATTTGCGATAAAAGTGGACAGAATATCCACAATACAGAAAAACGACTTGATCGCTTGGTAGAGTATTTTAGTAAACAGTTCAATTCGCCCAGTCCTAATGTAGTGAGCCCAGCAATTGCGGCGGAAACCATATGGGTGGTAACATGCCAACCCCCATCAGAATTGAAAGTACGACGCTGCATTCAATCGCTGAAGAAAGGAAAGGCAGCCGGACCTAATGGGCTTCTTCCTATTTTTTCAAGGTGGACGGTGATTCTCTTGTTGATTCAATTGCTAGCTTACTTCGCAGTATTTGTTCGGAGGAGCGTATCCCTTTGTCCTGGGGCGAATCGTTGATCGTCCCGATCTTCAAGAAGGGATCACGTAACGACTGCGCTAACCACCGTGGGATTAGTTTAGTTCCGATAGTCACAAAAGCGTTGACTTCTGTGATACTTCGCCGCCTGACACTCTTAAGGGAGATGAATATCCGCGAACAACAAGCCGGATTCCGACCAGGTCGCCGGCACATCGACCAAATCTTCACTCGGTGTCATGTCTTCGAACTGCATCATACACATCGTTGG